TAGCGAGGAGAGAGCTGCGCTCAGCTGACAGCTCCTCCGATAATTGCTTCCCAAGTAAGTGATGCAAATCAGCCCATCCAGCTTGTCCTTGCTTCTCTGCGGGGGGACCCAGGAGTCCAGCCCCAGAAAAGGGGACTGAGGCGGCTTGGAAGCTGTTGCCTGATACCATCGAAGTGGGCATCAGTCCATAAAGTTGGACTGTGCTGTCCTGGGGCTGAGGTGGGAGTGGTGGGGTACAGGCTGAGCCAGAGCCCTCTGGGTCTGCATTTCTGTCTTCCCACCCCTTGGGGAAGAATCCCATGTACCCATTTCTCTGTCAAGTAGAAGAAGGCATATGGAGGACACAGACACGGAGATTACTGAATGTGTTAGCAGAAATTGGGTGAACCTGTAGCCTAGCTGTCCTGGGGAGGAGGTGGAAAGAGACCGGTGGGAACTGCAGACAGTTCCCTCCACTTGTGGGGGCTCTCCCCACCAAGTAGGGAAGGGCATGGAGGGTGAGTCCTACGGGGCTGGAATGCAGCTGTCGTTCATGACTGAAGGCTTTCACAGGCTGATGAAACCTTGAGACGTGGTCTTGGGATACAGTGCCCTGGCTTAGCTTACACAGGAAAGACCTTTCTTCCTTTCTCTATTAGCAGGGCACTTTTTAGGGTCTGTTAATGAATCCCTCTTCCTTAATGCCTTTCTTTCCAATATCTTGTGTGTGTGTGTGTGTGTGTGTGTGTGTACACCCATGTGTGGACTGAACTGAGGGCTTCATGCATACTGAGAACACTCAGAGCCAGGTGTGGTGGCACACACCTATAATCCTAGCACTCTGAGAGGCTGAGGCAGAAGGACCACAAGTTTGAGTCCAGCCTGGGCAATTCAGCAAGACTCTATCTCAAAAGAATTTTTTCTTTTGAGTTGGGGTTGGGGATATAGTTTAGTGGAAAGGCTCTGGGTTCAATATCCAGTACTGCAAAAACAAAATAAATAACAGAAAGGACACACTCTGAGCTGGGTGTGGTGACACAAGTGGGAGGCTGAGGCAGGAGGATGACTGCAAGTGGGAGGCCAGTCTCGGCTGCATAGTGAGTGCAAGGCCAGGCTGAACTACACATCGAAACCAAACCCAAACAAAACAAACAAATGAACAAGCAAAAGGACACACTCTTCCACACCCCTTCCATCCCATCTCTCACTGATCTTGGACATGGAAGGTATTTTCCTTACAACCCTGAACTTCTACTCTTAGACCCAGCCCTTGCCTGTTTGTCTCCGTTGTGCTCTCCAGGGATGAGCTGCTCAGCCCCATCCTCTGTGCTTGTGTCAGGTGCGGTTCTATGGCCTCAATCTCGAGTGTTCAGTCCAGCATCTGCCCGAGACCCTGGCTGTAGTCATAGCAGCAGCAACTGACCTGCATGGGGCACAAATGCTGAGCTGGGTATGGTGTCAAGCACCTTATGTGATTAAGTCATTTAATTATCACAAAAGAAAACATAGGTTACAAAGATTATCCCATTTTACATCTCAGATAACTGAGGCCCACAAAAATGAAGTAATCTGCCCAAGGCCACCACTAGTACGTAAGTAAGTGACAGAGCTAGAATACAAATCTAGGTAGCCTCATTTTAGAGCCTGCACTCTTTCTCTTCCAATTCATATCCATTCATCCTCAACCTTTCTCTCTCTGTCCTGGGGACTGAAGCCATGGCTTTTGCACTGAGCTACATTCCATATATGTGCATATATATATTTAATTTTGAGAGTCTCACTAAGTTGCTGGGCCCAAGCTTGCAATGCAGGGATCACAGGTGTGCACCATCACACTCAGCTTCCAATGTTCTTTGAATGTTTCTTGGGCTGACAGAGGGGTCCAGTGTAGTGGAGTTGGGGAAGATGTCTACACCTTATTCCTTAGGGTTTTTCAAGGAGTCGACCAAGTGACACTTGGTACCTAGCGAGGGGGAAACATGGCTTTATTTTTTCCAATACCCGTCTTTGTTTTCTGCAACTGGAGGCCCTGCACTACTCAGGTCTTCTCTACTGTAGAAGCGTGGAATGAGCAGCCTAGGAAAGTGAGCGGAGAGTCAGAGCTAGGAGCTCCAGAGGCCGATAGATGGCGCTCATGGCCCAACACAGCCTCAATAGCCCAAGGAAACCTATGGAAAACAAGTAAGCCAGGTTAACCCCTTCCCCACTAGGCTCAGGCCTGAGATACAGGCTGGTGGACATCGGGCCCCTCCTCAGCCCAGGTGATCCAACTCTTTAGCTCCTTACCCAGGCCATAGCCTTCTGGTATCGACCTGCTTCTGGTATCATCCCCAAGGCTCTATCCATAAATCACTATTTCCAGCCCCTTGAAGATTTCTGAGAGGGCCAGGAGACTAAGAAATGGACAAGGCCTCACCTAAGGCTCACCTAAGGCCTCACCTCTAGCTCTTGAATGCCGCTGTATGTGTCTGTATTTCTCAGCACCATTTTCCCTGAGAGATGCACAAGGAGGAAAGGAGGAGCATGGGCTAGAGACAGAAAAGGCCTGAGACTCCTGTAGGGTCAGCTGTAACAAGTCACTGTGGGATGCTCAAGCCTCAGTTTTGCTCTTTATCTGGACTCCCTGACTCTGAGCTTGCTGGGGAGGACAGGCTTATAGGGACAGAAAGACTTATCTGGTTCTCTCAGAAAGTTAAAATTAAAAGAGTGCTTGCTTGTCACTCATTTTACTTATTATTGTCCTGCCAGAGGTAGAGTTGGCAGTGTGGAGGGGCTGCCAAGATGATAAACTAGAAGACAAGAGGGCTGGGGATTTAGCTCAGTGGTTCTGCTACCTGCCTTGCAAGTGCAAGGTCCTGAGTTCAATCCCCAGTAACAAAAAACAAAACAAAACAAAACAAAAAACCCCAAAACAAAACAAAACCAAAAAACAAACCACCACCACCAACAACAAAAACCACACACACACACACACACACACACACACACACACAAAAAAAACTAGAAGACAAGCAAGTGGCAGAGGGGTTGTGTGAGTAGAAAAGTGTCTATTGGATGGTTGAGATCTTAGAAAAAACTTTGTTTTGAGACAGGATCTTGCATGTCCCTCAGGCTGGTCTTGATGAATTCATGATCTTTCTGCCTCACCCTCTTCAAGTGCTAGGATCACAGGCATATGCTACCATTCCTGGCCAGATAGGAAGATTCTTCAACAATGAGATAACACCACAGTGAGGTCCCTCCCGCTTGTTTTTGTTTAGAGGCATACAGTGCCAGGAGTCATGGAGATAGAGGAGCCTGCTCTAGAGGCTAACTCTTATTTCAGTCATACCAGAGAAAGAAGCAAAGACAGATACATGCAGAAGGAGACAGACACAAATATATGGAGAGAAAGCTATAGAAGAGATGATATAAATTTACATATGTGGGGAGAGACAAAGACATGGAGAGGGGGAGAATCTGGTACAAATTAAAGCTCAGGAAATAATAGGTTTCATGAGGTGGATGATTCATTCTGTTTCTGAAGTCTTGCAAGGGTGGGAGTGGCTTCTCACTTTGGTGTCAGAGGGGTCACTGCTTACAGCTCCCTGAAGTTCCTGCTATACCTATTAAGTTTGTCTGTTAATAGAAGACCAGAGGAGGTTTGGGAAAAATGAAACATCCTTGTTCTCTCTCTTCTTTCTGCTTTTGGGTTCATTGGTCTCCTTACCTACCACCTATAGGGAGACCTTAGTTGGTGATCAGAGCCCTGGCTGTGTTCAGGCTGAGTGCAGGGGTGGGAGTGGGAGGAACCCAGGAAATAACTAGCTTAGGGGATGTCCGATCTATTGAAAGTCCTATAGTCAGAACACAGAAAAAGATCCAACCCAGGAATTGAACAGTTTTGGATATTGGTTCTGTGTGGGCTGTTAGGTGCAGTCGTGGAATTAGGATTGGTCAAAGGCTTCTTGTGAAGGGTGTTTGAGAGGGAGGATTTGGAAGAGTGGGGGGTGTGATAGTTAATTTTACATGTCCACTTATGTGGATTAAAGGCCACCCAGATATTGTAGTTGGTTTTTGCTTATAGGTGTGTCTGTGTGAGTGTTTCTGGAAGACATTTTGAATTGGTAGAATGAGTCAAGATTGCCCAATCCCTTGAAGACTCAATAGGACAAAAAAAGCATAGGACAGGTAAATTCTCTCTCTTTATGAGCCAGAACATTTATCTTCTCCTACCCTTGAACTTCAGTGGAGATCTGTCTGAGGGCCTTGGTTCTCAGGTCTTCAAGCACGCGGGGACTTATATCAGCAAGCTTCCCTGCAACCCTCCTTCAGACTCAGACTGAATTACACCCTGAATTTTCCTGGTTCTCTAGCTTACCAACGATCAGCAGATCATGGAATTTCTTTGGCCTCTCTCTTATTTTGTGGGCCAGTCACACGATAAAGCTCCTCAGAGGGGAAGATAAATATATATCCAATTGGTTCTGTTTTCCTGGAGAACCCTGACTAATATAGGTTATGAGGCTGGGCAGATAGCAAGGCAGAAGAGGGCGAAAAGTCAAAATGGTGAAGCTGTAAAGGGGCTGGCCAGTAATAGGGGTGGGACTGGCTGCTGAAGAGTCCTTAGGAGATGCTAGAAATGCCTCCGTTGATGTTCTGCATACAGTAATGTGCCTTTCAGGTTGCAAAGGCATAATCTCTTATACCTGGGGTAGCCAGATGGGTACAAATGGATTTTAACCATTTTCAAAATCCTCAGGTGGGTGAGAGATTTGGGGTGGTTGGAGCTTCCTGATGGTTGGGAATAAACTTTAGGGTTAGGTATTCTCACCTCTCAAGACTTCTAGATTTCTTTTTCAGCCTCCTGAGGGCTGTACACCACCACGCCCAGTTAGATGTAGCACCGACTATAAAAGTAAACTACAACTCCCAAAGTCTTTTTAGGGCTCACTAGCGCAATTTCCGGGGACGTGAGCATTTCCGGCGGAAGTGGCAGTCTCTACGCCAATCTCCTTTCCAAAATATTGTAGACTACGACTCCCATTGTCCTTCGCGCCGGCGTGGGGAAAGGAACTGGAAACTGGATGGGGAGCTGGACCAGGTGAGGGAGCAGGAGGCTGAGAGTGTGGGGTGCTGAGGCCAGCTGGGGGGTCCCAGGGTCCTCCAGACAGCTGAGAGGGTGCTCCGAGAGCCGGTGTTTTGGGGACCACGCCCAGTCTGGAGCTAGACCCAGGGCAAGGGAGAGCCAAGCCGGCCGTCTGGGAGGCTTGTGAATCAAAGCCTTCGGTCGGGCTGAGCCCGCGTGCGCAAACGGAGTTTTGTGGGGTGCTTGGCTTTGGCCCCTCAGAATCAGAGGAAGGGCGGAATAACCTTTTTTAGTCTGTGCTCTGCTTTTGTTTTGTTTAAAGATTTGCTTATTGTGCATGTAGGTGCCTGAAGTGCTTCCCAGAGACGGGAGTGGACAGTGTCGTGGGTCCCTAATGAACTGTCTAACTGCGTACAAGATATCTAATTAACTTACCTATCTGCAGTATTCCCCCCTCTGAAGAAGTACCTCTAACTGCTGTGAGGGGCAAAGGGCGAAGACAGCTCTGGCTACTTCCAGCTGAAGAGGATTGTAGTTGTGATCAGCAGTTAGAGTTACTCTGTACATACAGAGGGTTTGTCTAAAGGCCTTCGGTAGATGCCAGGCGTTAGCTTCGTAGCTTTCCAGTCTGGAGGAGACAAAGCCAAAGAAACAGTTCAGAATGCATGGGCCAAATTATAAGGTCAGCAGTATTGCTATAAATATAGCCCACAAAGAGGATAAGGAGAAGGTCCAGTGGAATTCAGAATCCAGCATAGAAGTCATATTGTATAGTTTAGCAGTTATGAGCTATTTACAAGGTCGATCTGGTGCATCTCAGTAAAAGAAGTCTAGCACATTTGTCACTGGTTCCATTTGTATGACTTCTTGGAGTCTGGCAGCCTCTAGACAAGAATAGACAAAACTTTTAAGAAATCAGAGTATGCATAATCTAAGCATTAGCACACTAGAATGAAAGGCATGTTGGTTAGAAAGTCACACTTAGAAATTCAAGTAGTGATTGAACCTGCTGGGCTTAGATTCTTTCATTGATAGAAGTTATGTATAAGTCTGATACTTTAAGTCTCTCTAGTTTTAGCTGTAAGATAAGAGACAATTTGAAGAACAGATTTCGCTAAGAAATATAAAACTCTAGCTGAGCTTTTATAGATTTTACCATAGTTTTTTCCTAATGATACATAACCATGGTCAGCTACTGGTAGAGCTGGAAACTGCCAGAAGGGCTCAGTGACTAGAGACCCTTTTTATACCTGGCTTTATTACTATGGCATTATTTTATACCTCTTTTGGTTATTATTTTCTTCTGGGTGTTGAAGACCAAGTTAAAGTGAGACCCGTGACACTGTATTTTCTAAAGCATCTACATTTTTTTAGGCTTCTGGTGAATTTTAAGTAGAACTTCCCAGTTCCTCTTTTAGGTGCCTGTAGTGTTGTTCAAGATATTAAAACTCAGGTTATACTGAATTACAGTTACTTGCCTAACTGTTCTCTCACAGTAGTTTATGACTTATGAAAGCCTGACCTACATTTTTTTTTCACTTTGAATTAACTTCCCCACAAAGAGACTCCACAGTTCTTTCACAAATATTGAAAAATAAATAAAACAAGTTAACAGCTGGTGGTGGATCGATAGCATATGGAACTTTCCCAGAGTAGAGAGTTGAATGACTTGCTGAGCACAGTGGTATAACTTGGTAATCCTAGCTACTCCAGAGGCTGAGGCAGAAGGGTTACAATTTGGCAAGACCCTGTCTCAAAACAAAACAAAACAAACAACAAACAGAGAACCTTCTTAGAGCTAAAACCAGGACTAGAGTTCAAGTGAGTTCACTTCCAGCCCATGGTTCTTACTATCAGATTAGGCTTTGGAACTTTGGAATACTGAAAATAAGATCTTGTCACTTTTTTTGTTTGTTTGTTTGTTTTTTTGAGACAGGGTCTCACTATGTAGTTGAGACTGACCTAGAACTCACTATGTAGCCCAGGCTGGTCTTGAACTCACAGCAATCCTCCTGCCTCAGCCTCCTGAGTGCTGGGATAACAGGCATGTGTCACCACACCTGACAATCTTGTCACTTTTGTGTACTCTATTCTTGCCTTTTCTAGCTCTGGTCTCTAAATGCAATAAGTAGTAGACCCATCTTAGCACCTAGAGTGGAGCAGAGGGAGATGCAAAGGAAGGACCCCTGAAATGTTTGGGTTCACTGCTTTTGTATAAGCTCAGTTGGTCCTGGGTGGCCACCTGGACAGATAAAAGTTTTCTAACATTAGAAGGACTTCTTAAGTTCAACCTCTGTTTATTCTTTTCTTTTACTTCCTGTAATCTAGGATCATAGAATAGGCTTCCAAAACTGTTGTGTCAATCTTTTTTTTTTTTTTTTTT